GGGGGGGGCTGAGACACACTTAATATTATCAGCATTCTGATGACATTTTAGCATAAAGGATTTTTATCAAAGACATAATTAATGTGCAGAAATAAGGAAAAGTTGTATTAACCATAAATGGAAACCGAGTTTTATGGGGCCCTCAGGAACTTGATCACAAATCTGGATTTTGAACAACAGCAACTGATGGAAGGGAAAATTTTTTAGAGTTCTGATGGCAAAATGTCCTCCGAAAAAATACCATATTGCTTCTTATAATGATATATGAGTCCTTTTCCTTTTCCTGATCGGCAACGATTCACAGATCCTTATTCTAGTTTAATGATGAGGAAACAGAAATAAGAAAGAAGTGTTGATTCTAAAAATAATTGTGTTTTGCTCCAAAACGTGCTTTGAACTGGTAATGATGTTCTGGCCTCCTCCCGTTAGGTGGTGTCGGGCACAGGGTGGGGCAACCTGCTGCTGTGGGAGCGCAGCACCATCTGGGCGGAGATTTGTCGGAAAGAGGGGGGGAAGTGCCACGCTGGGACGGTCCAGCTTTTCACCCTGGAAGATGGACAGCTGATGACGTTTGGTTCCGATGGAGCCATCCGGGTAAAGCAGACATGGACACAAACGCAGACATCCCTCTGAGAAGTGTGGAGTTGAGGATGAAGCTGAGACTCTTTCAAGAGAATTTTCAAATTTATTCAACATCCTCAGACGGAGAGAAAGAGCTCTGACTCACCTCCTTCCTCTACAGGCCTGGGACTCTGAGCTGATCAACAGCGCCGACATCAATGGAGACAGCGGCACCTTCGAGATGGAGCCCATTAACGAGTTGGTGGTCGGACACAACGTTTGCCTTGTTTCTGTGGTCAGGAGCCCCCAGCTGGACTCCATCTACTTCGCTCAGGTCTGGAGGAACCGCTCACCATGAAGACACCTGTAGCTCAGAGCAGGTTCCTCCAAGTTCTCCTCTATTTGCTGTCCTGCAGGATTCTAACGGAGCCATTTGGAAACTGGACCTGTCTTTCAGCGCCACGGTGAGCTCTCTACAAAACCGTCCATCCGTCCCACTCTCATCCGCTTGTATTACACTGTAAAAATCTTTTATCTAAGTCAATTTTCTTGAAATAAGAGCATTTTTTTCTTGAATTGAGCAGGTAAGTGAGAGACTTTACCATTGGGACAAGAAAATGTACATTTAAAGCTTAAGGGGATTCATATTTAATGTCAAATCATTCTGGCTTAAACATGTATATAAATGTTCTCTTTATCAGACCATATCGTCCCAAAATTTAGAAAATATTCCCCCCCAAAAAATAGAAATCCTGTCTTAAAATGACTCTTTTTTTCCGTTATCTTATTAGTTATACCAGTTAGTTCTACCTCAGCCTGATCACCTAAATTCGGCCAATCATATATCAATGGTCATCTGTCAATCAAATGTTTCCGGTCATAGCATCTTGATTCATGTGTCGCAGCTAATATACGCAACGGTTGAAACCAGAATC